TTTTCAGCAAAGAGAAGTTGTTTCATCTCAGTGGCTCTAACTGTCAATTCATTTGTTAATTATAATAGTTCTGCAATAATTAGATTCTGTTTAAATTTTTAACCTTAGGACAAGTCCCTGCAGTTTTTTGGCAAGCAGAAATCCTTCCAAGGGCTAAGAGTGGGTGGGTCACCCAACTGGCTTTGTGCCTAAAGTGAGCCTTAGGGTCTCCCAGCTTCTAGGCTAATGCCTTAAGTATTGTAATTATCTATTTGTTTGTTAATTTTATATTTCTGCAATAATGAGAGATTATGTTTAAAACTTTAGCCCTAGGCAATAATAAGCTGAAGGCTTCTATTGCTTAAGGCTATCCAATTAACCCCTTCATAAAGCAGTAGAGATCATAACATAATACTAAAATGTAATATTCAATATTGTATCATTTTCTGATTAAGCCAATACTGACAGATAAAAGATGCTTAGAATTTGAATTAAAATAATCTCTGCATCTCTTGAAAAACGTGCCTATTCAAGAGAACAGTGTAATATAGCATGATCTAGATTGCTGAAATAACTCAGAAGTTGTTCAAATTGCCTTTTGGATTTTAAGATCAGTTAACTTAAATTGAGAAATGGTTTTCCTATTTCCTAATTTTTTGGGGGGGAGTAAAGGAATGAGAGAGGAAGGAGGGGGAAAATGATAGCAGTTTTTATTTTGATTAATGTTTAAATCATTTTAAATGACATCCCTAATGAACTCTATATTAATTTAAAAATATGAAGTGTGTATATATATATATGGTTGAAGTGCTTTAAGCACAAAATAAATTGATCAATAATGATGTCCTTCTTTGCAAATGATACTGACTAGATTTAGAACTCAATGGTTCTAAACAGTGTTACATAGTAACTATTAAGAAAATAAAAATTCCTCTATTATAGCCATAAAGTACTTGCATTTCTAAAAAGAAAGAAATAAAACAAGCTTAATTTAATCCCAAGAAGAATTTCTGCAAAACTACAGTATATAGTGCTGAATTATATAAATGGTATGGAACTAAATTAGCACAGATAGTTGGTTATTTTTTGAGATTCTTGAAAGCCAGTGTAGAAAATAAAACTTTCAGTCAAATATAACCAGTGATTTTAAAATGTGGAGTTCTCATAAAGTAAAAGGAAACTAGCCAGCTTGCTTGTAATTTTAAGAAAAACAGACTGGGTTTATAGTGTCATAAAAACTTTTCAATACCCTAGTTACTCCCTGCATGACATTTACTGTTCTCAATTTATGAACAATTCAAGCAGGATGGAAAACAAATATATTATATTATATTATATTTGTTTTCACATGGGAGAAAACCAGAGCCATCCCATAACCACCAAGAGAACCAATGAAAGGAATAGATCACATTCTTTAGTAATGAGCCCCCATTTAATTACCAATTATTCTAAAAGCCAGATTCACAGCAGAGGCAAGAAACTTGAGAAAATTTAAGCAACTATCATTAGGTTGTAGGTTTATGATTTGTATCAGTATGGCCAGCAGAACATAATTTTGGAATGTAAGATGAGAAAGAAAATGTAGCACTTCATTGGCAAATTGATTTGTAAGTTAGGAAATACATCAAATGGGGAAAATTATACTTGCAGAGCTTCATATTTCAAAGAAATCCTAGACTCTATCTGCACTTCATCTCCATCACTGTGAATATGATACAACATAATCTCAGTAAAAATAATCAACCTTCAATGTATCCTAATGGTTCATTTACAATGTACCCTAAATGGTTCAAATATAAAGTATTTGCAGGTTAAACAGTAGATTAAAGCTAGTAAATTTTGGCACATTGTTTATTTAGACAAGATAATGTTGCATTTTCAAAGTTGCATGGAATAACACCCGGCGTTATTATATAAACAAATTTTAATTCTGGGAAATAAAACAATTGCTTGTTCACCAAGATTTGTTTTATTTGCTTTGTATTGTTGTTTGGCAAGAAAAAAACATTTATTTATTGGGTTTATATGCTACTGAATCAACTCATGTGCTAACAAGATAAAACAAATAAAACCACTATGAACCAAGTTGTGCTTTCGTTTCCCTTCTTCAGTATGGGGGCATGGTAATCACTAGAGCAAGGTACAAAGTGGACATTAATATTCTCTCCCTTCTGTTTTTCTATCTGCTTACCTCTGCAGTGAATAGCAGCTGCTGATCCTGACACCATGCAGAATGAAGTAAATGATGACATAAGAGAACATATGACTGAAATGGCTTTCAGAATGTATCTTGAATTTGCTGTGAGAAAGCCCTAAGGGGCCCAGAGGCAGGGAAAAGGAGAGAAGAGGGAGCCATTATCCCTGTAGCTACTATGAGGAGTCATGCCAAAGAGAAGCAGTGCTACTGGTGATTTAGGCATTTAGGAAAAACTCAGGCTTCAGGGACTGGATAATGTTTCAAGTGCTTTAATCAGCGGCAGTTATATCAGCAGGTCTGGTTGGTATTTTCTTTTTCATCGTTTTATATTGCCTTGAATGTATTCTGTATTAGCAGTTTTAAACAGAAAATAATTATTGATGGTCAGGCTTCAAGAAATTTAACCTTAGTTGTCATGTCACAATCTGTGTTGCATTCCCATCACCAGGCTAGTTAAAAAACAAATGTAAAAATTCATCAAATTTTCATATGTAAACCAGAGCATTCACAAACCACACTTCACATCCTTGAAGCATTTTGTTCGTCAACGTGGAAGTCACATGTATATGAATAGCAGAATATCACACTAAATGTTCCAACCCAATTTCATTCTGAAAATGTACCTATTCAATAGAATTTTTAAGCTCACAGCTTTAATATTCTTTAATATCTTTAGATCCATAATTGGAAAAATGCAAGACCCTTTCATGTCAACAACATACAGAAAAGTAACTAGTTGAAAGTTAAAAGAAAAGTGGCTTATTTTACCTGGATGGGTGGCTCAATCATTATCCACGCAGGCAGCATCAAATTTGGATTCAGAGGCTGAGTTCCAACTCGGAAATAAATCCCACCACAGCTGTCACAGGCCCAGATGTGCTGATTTCCACATGCTAAGCTTGTAAGTTTCACAGCACCTAAATAGAAATGGAGGATTTCAGTTATGGTAGTTAGCCTCTTCAACTGTGATTTATGACACCAGTTAGATTTAACCTACACAATTACTGTATTCCGCCCTGCCCCAGACTAATAATTTCAGGTGAGTGGGGATAAAATATTAGAGAATTCTCCAGTATTCTATGGCCATTTTAACATACAATGAAAAAAGGAGATCTGAGTATACTTTTCCTTTCATCAAAAATAGTTTGGACATCAGATTTATTAAGCAAGTAAGTCCCTACCGCCAAAAACCACAGTGCTTCTAATGTGCTCTCAAAATACCAAATGTGCCTATCAGGCCCAATGTTGGACACTCCTATTCTGAATTATCTAGAATGAACTCCTCTGCCCTCATTTGACATTCTTTCCACATACAGACCTTGGAGGGAGGAGGGGGTAATTGCTTTACTATTTGCTTTACTGAAGAGGTTTCTATACTTGCAGAGGAATTCTCAAGTGAAATTCTCTTTCACTGCCAATAATAGATAAGCTTCCATTCCATTTCAGATTACTTTTAAAATCTGAATTACAGTGCAATTCGAAAGCAAGTATGTGACTTTTGGGCCTGTTATTAACATGCCTTTTTTAAATGTAGAAAGTTCTGTCTATTGAAGCATCTTAGGGTAATAGAACACTATATATATATATATATACATATACATACATATACATACATATACATACATATACATATACATATACATATACATATACATACAGAGAGAGAGAGAGAGAGAGAGCTATTAAAATAATATATCACTAAATGAGGAATAGAGAAAGAATGCAATGTAAAGGAACACAATTTGTTGTATAATTAAGAGATGCAAGTTTTCACATGAACTCAAGTGAACTCGCTCTGGGAGACTGTTAAGCTTACAAAGTCTAAATACATTTTAATGTTTCACATTCCAAATGTTACTAGCAAATAATGGCTGCTGATGAGATCTATGGGATAAATATCTCAAGATTAGTTATTTTCATTTCCAGTATACTAAGCTAAATAAGAAGCACTTATCTTAAAAGAGCTATGATTCAAAGGACATGAATTGTACAACAGCATCAACATTTTGCTGCTTTCTCTAAGATTGAAATACAAAGTATAAATATGTGAAATAAATCTCTCCAGTTGTCTGTCAATCTTCCAATAACAGAATATTTGTTCCTAGAAATGTCAGCTTGTGTGATTCTTTCTTCTTTGATTTTAGAAGGATGCAAGGAAAGTATGATAGAGCTATTTAATCAAAATGTGATGTTTTAGAAGTTATATATTCCATATTAAAAATATAGGAGGAAAAGCAAAGCTACAAAGGGAAATAATGCAAATGTGCAGCATGGCAGAGCAGCATTTTGAAAAATGAAGACAAAAAGAAATATTCATTTTTCAAACTAATTAGCAAAATATTCTAAACTGTGATTGGAATAACCCATTATCAGATATAATCATCTTATTAACAGAAACCTTTAAAAGCCATCACTATTGCATTCATTTTTAAGAAACTTAAGCAATAATTTGCATAACATTTTCAAATATGACAGTATGGCTTTTCCCCCAACTACTGAGTTAAATGCTACCCACCTATGTTTGAACTGACAGAAAGGTATGGCTGCCATAGTTGATGTCTTACTTGCCTCTGCTCTGTTTTATGTATTATATGAAAAACAGCATCCGGTTATAAGAAAAGACAAGTTCCTGAGTGGAAATTTTGAAGACATTCAGTTCCTTACAAAAGAAACCAATCAGCTATGAAGCTAAACAAGCTCTACTAAAAACTAATGGCAATAATTCCTCTAGGTCAGTGTTTCTCAACCTTGTCAACTTTAAGGTATGTGGACTTCAACTCCCAGAACTCCCCAGCCAGCACAGTGAAAGTTGCCATAGCAACTAAAGAATAGCTGCCTTAGGTGACTGTGAACGGAAGAGACCACAACGCCTTCAGCATCAGCTTGAAAAAATAACAACCAAAATGACCCGATTTGGCAGCATGAGCAAAGCTATGTCATTTACAGATCCTCTGCTATGTAATTGCCCTAAAGGTCTTCTATACATCTTAAAGGTAAGTGTCAAATGGCTGATCACTTCAGAATTTTAAGATTGTGAAACAAAACCTGCCCTGGTTTCTGAGACAAACAGTCCTGAGAAAGAGGCAAAATTTATTGTTTTATAAGAGATGTCTAGAGAGGTCTAGAAACATCCAATGATGTGAGGAAAAAAGTTCCGAAATGATCTTCCAAAAGGAATGAGAGAAAAGAGGGAGACAAAATCGCATTTCAATATATTCCAGTTGAAATTAACACAGTATCTCCCATTTTAGAGACCATAAAATTTGGACAGAAATCATTTTCTATCACAATCACAGCAATTTTAAAAAGACAGCATATTGTACTTAAACAGGCAAAAAAAAGATTGTTAAGCGAAGTAGTCATATGCTCAGTCACATAATATCTGATGTAACAACCAATTCATTCAATGACTGAGAGTCCAGGCTCAATTGTGCTTGTAGGCAGAGGACTACCTACACACCACTCTCTCCCTCTCTTTCTCTCCCTCCCCCCCTCAAACTATCTACCTATGGATGAAAGAAAATCTCTGAAAGAGAAAAATCATGCAATCTGGGAAGAAAAACTCAAAAGAAACTAATCATGAAGACAAAATTGTGAATAAATTGCCTATTCTTGGTGGTGGGGGGTATGAGTATGTTTAGATTAGACCAAGGAAAGAAGAGGGCCACATCAAACAACTAAGTGGAAGAATGAAATATTCTAACTACATGGCTAAAGATAAAGTCTTAAAATGAATTTATCAAAAACTGGATTCAAATTAAACGGATATGAAAGTATTAATCTTCGCTTATTTCTTTATCATCTCTTAAATTCTGCCTTTATTTCCATATTGTTACACATCTAATCAATCAAAAATAAAACATTAGGATAAATTTTATATTGATCTAACTTTCAATAGAGCTATTAAAAGATCACTTCATTGCTTGGTGGTCAGCTGATGGTTTTGATCTAATAAGTGCCAGGATTTTTGGAACAGTCACATACCATCTCCTCTGCATTATTGGAGTTATTTACACACACAGCACAATTTGATGTCCAAATATACACTTATTGTATTTTCAGCTTCTATTCTCACTCCAATTTGGGGTATTACTCTTACAAAAACTGATGTGAATTATTCATCCAGATAATCATATGTTACTGTTAGCCAGCACATTGCCAAAGTCCATTTGACTTTATTGCAGAAATTCTGAATATAACAGAGCAAGTTTAATTAAGTCACATGCTATGATAAGTATTCAAGTATGCGAAGAACTGCCTGGACAGAGTTGAAATTTCAAAATCCATTGATCCATTATGCTAATCCTCTAATGCTTAATGTGATTTAACCAGAAATGTTTTCTTGATATTAAACTAGAAAACTTTTTCAGAAAAAAAGGTAAATGTTCATCTTTTATATAAAATGATAGGCAACCACAGAGACAATGCTGGGCAGTAAATATCACTATTAAAATGAACTATGATGCTTGATGATCCTTCTTGAATCAGTGATAACGATTAAACACTTTGCTGTATTAGAAATAGAATCCTAGGGAAATGATATCCAGAACCTTTTTTGGTTCAACAGTATTATTTCTGTATTATCTCCCTACTCCTCTAAAAAACAGGTAACGGGATCTCTACATTTCAGGGCCTTCCCACTGATTCACAGAGTTCCACTCCAGCGTGCAACTGGGATTTTGAAATATCTCTACCTGCACCTGTGGGTGTTTTGGTGGTTAATGGCTACTAGTGGCAGGGAAAGAGATGATGACAAAGAGACGAGTCCACTGATAAAATATAACAGAATAAAAACTGTGTATATATATGCTAGCAACAGTGTCAACAACTTAGTTCTTCACTCTAGCCCCCAGAATTGACATCTGATGCTTAGGTTATAATCAGATTTCAACTACATCCTTTAAGCAGCAAAAACAATAATAATCGTACTCAAAACAGAACATCGTAACTTGTTGCCGTGACATCATTATCCTGCTTCCTAAAAATACTGATCATTCTCTTCTAAAACACAACTGGTTGTCTAGTTCATTGTCATAACCTTTGTCTGGAGCCAGTATGATAGGTATTTCAAAATTCACTGCTATGATCATTGTCTACATTTTTACTTATTATTTATTTATTTATTTCTATCTATCCCACTCTTATTATTTTTACAAATAACTCAAGGTGGCAAACATATCCAACACATCTTTCTCCTCCTATTTTACCCACAACAATTTAAATTATTATCATTACATTTCATACATCAAAACAATTCTGTTTGTGAACTCTTATCAATTATACAGAGAAAAGAATCTATCTGCATTTCAGCTAAGAATTTTCTAAAGCTACAATTAGATTTACCTAACTGAGTAAGATCCAGTTTGGTCCAATGCATTCCTGTTGGGCAATTTGGTGAAAGTGTCCTTATGAAGACCTGTCCCAGACTATTCAAGCTCCATATCGCATCCCGGCAAGCTGAATAATATATCATTTCATTATCAGAAGGGAGCTGAACAGTTGAAGGATGGAACTGAGGATTCTGATCACTAACACAAAACAGGTCCTTGCTACTTTGGGACAACCATAAGAAACTTCCTGAAGGAAGGACAAAGTTTTTATTATAAACTCCATTTTCTTTAGAAACCTTTATAAAAATTAATCAGTATTTGTACATAAAGCAAAATCTGCATTCTAAGATTGTATTAATATAATTACTATCTTCATAATGCAGTTAATTCACTTCACAGACATACTTGGAAACCTTTAAACACATTATAAGATGTTTTAAAGTTATTTCCATATTCCATTTTTTTTAAAAAAACCCAAGGCTAAGAAGCAGTTCTTTAAAAATGGTTAAAAAAAAATCCTGTTATTTCAGATCAGTGGCTGTTTTATCCTAGCATTCTGTTTTCCATAATAAATGGATGTTTCTGGGAAACCAACAAGCAAAGCATGAGTCAATCAATACAAACTGCTAATGTTTAAAAGAGGATTCATTTTAAATTTATAAAAATGTATGCAAATATTTCATTCTGCAGTTTACCTTATATAAAAGCATTTATTTTATTTCTAATACTCTGGAAATAAACATAAAATTAATTAATTACCATAATACATTGGCACCGTTCTAAAGTAAAACTGTTAACACTGAATATGAACAAAACAATCTTAGGCTATGCAGCACTGAGAAAAATATAGTAATATAAAAACTTGATATATCTATAAAACATGAGACTGACGATTATGCAGTTAAAATGTAGAGGCGGTAAGACATATAAAAAGTAAATGATAAATTCTCAAACTATAGTTTTACTTGATCATTTATTAAATGTAATATATGGATTCCTAGTGAATCAATGGGTTAAAGGAACTGGCAAGGATGACCTTTGTAAGTTCTTAAATCACAGTGCAAATTAAAGGTTCATAGTAAGAGCAGGAATTTCCAATTTTGCATTCACCTTCTTCTTGCTATGTATTAATTACTGTAACTTAGAACTAAACAAGTTTTTAAATTATCCAGTTCCAATACTATTTTATGGATAAACAAAATGGTAACAAAGATCAATTTACATGTTTCGTTATCCTAGCAGACACACATGAATAAATTTTATACACACACAGACACAGAGGGAGGGAGGGAGAAGGAGAGAGAGATGGAGGAAGAGAGAGAGGTTTTAACCTTCTTTTGTTGGAGCTGCAGAAGCTAACACAAAAACCCATTTTGTAGCTGAAGCAGTGCCCCGAGGCACAACATTATTCCAATATGTACCTGCAAAAGAAAACAGGAAAACCATCAATATAAAAACAACCTCTGTCCCATGTACAGTGAGTAATGTCTGAACTACTTTTTTGTTCTTTAGATTCTTATTTTAAAGAAGAACATATTTTATATTCCTGGTTTCAATTTTCATTTTGACCTAATAATGACAATTATTAAGCATTCAGAGAAGAGATTCCATTCATACTGAGGTAGCCCAACAAGATAGGCCACATGGAGAAACCAATGCCATATATGGCAGGATTATGTTCTAAAAGAGCTACAGTAACAGAATCTTTTGAGTCTGAATGTGCTTTCCCCTCCCGCACCTTATGTTCCTGTGAACTAGGAAGGACTTGCCTGAGACATTTTTCACGTTACTTTTGTTGATCTGGGTCCACGTCCTTCTTACCTGACTGTTGCTTAGGTAGCAGCTCTTCCTCCTGCCCTTCAAGGCCATTCCCTCTGTCCACTACACCTAAACAAGATATTCTTTGCAATCTAGTTTGACCCATCACTTTCTTCTATATAATCTTTCCTTCCTAATGTTTCCTATCAAAATCTAACCTATTTAAGATCTCTTTAGGTAATCTAAAATAGGACATTTTCTCCCCAAAGTCTAGATTATAATATATTTATACTTGATAGGTAATTGGTTAACTTGATGATAGAGAAAGGAGGGGGAGCAAGAAGCATAAGCACTTTCAATCTGCTCAGGCAATTTTTCTTTCCACATATCCCAATTTCTTGTTTTTTGGTCATACTGGCCAAAACGTATGGAAGAAAGGAAGTTGCCTATTGTGGTATGGAAATATTGAGTAAATTAATTCATATTCTAATACATGCAACTATGAATCTTGAGATCTGATATCCAATACTCAGTTTTATTTATGTACCTGAAATATATTTTGAAACTTCAAGTATTTTAATATTTATTGCTATTATTGGTAGCAAACCAACATAGAATATTAGAATGTCAGCATACATTCTACATAGCTGTTGGATTTGGCTTGATATATAAACCATTCCACAATATAGTCGTTTAATTTTAAAGTACTGTAAATAAGGCAGATTTATCTTTTTTCATTTTTACATACAGAATTTCTGCATAGTAATTGAACTACAAATCACTGAAATAAAATATAGAATGGGTCTCAGATGAGTTGAAAATGTCCTAGATAGGACTCAGTCACATGCGTCTACCACTAACATCTTTTACACATTTTTTAATTTAAAATCTGGAAACTCAATACA